AGGATCAACCATGAGTGGAGACGAAGCAAAAAGACCCTTAGAGAGTGGGCCACTGAAGAGGTCAACTAACAACCCCTTTGCATTACGTTTCCAGAAGCCCAAAACATCAAACTTAAATTTGGGTTGATCATCTTCTTCCAACATTTCGCGGTTTGGAAAATAAAGACCCACATAAATTTCTCAAGGAATTTCATGTGGTATATTCTGGAATGAAGCCACATGCGATTACTGAAGACCAGATCAAACAAAGGGAATTCCCATTTTTGGTTCAAGATTCAGCAAGGGTGTAACACCCGGTTCCCGGTACGTATTTTAAATACAAGTAATTGCATGTTTACACTGGGACTAGACGTGTTGGAGGCCGAACTCGTCGAGTAGACTATATTTTAGACGCGGGTTTTAAGTAACCTACTCGATGAGTAGGACTTCCTGGATGAAACCCTAATATTTATGGTTTGCACCCTATTTAAATGCCTTAACTTGTCCCATTTCAGCCTCCATCATCTCTCATAGTCCATGAAATCCCTAACTCGAAACCCTAAAGCATTTGGAGTGTCCTTGAGCCATTTTTTGTATGTTTTTTTTTTGTTTTTTGAAGTTTGAAGAAAGAAGTGGAAGCTTGGGGTTCCAGAAGAAGCAAGTAGATCCAGAGGTTTTGCTTCATTTCCAGCTCATTCAAGGTAAAAAGCTTCAACCTTGACCATATATCTCTTAGATCTTTAGTTAGAGTTAATTTCTACCTTTTTTAAGCTTTAGTAGAGCCATTTTCGGGGTTTTGTGGTTCTAAGGGGTATAACTTCAGATTTGGAACCATTAAGGGTTCCCATGGCATAAAGGTGCCAAATTTATGGCCATTGGAGTCTCATGCATTATATAAGCCTCACTTTAGGGCCATTTGAGCCAAATACCCCATTCATGAACATCAAGGTTGTAACTTTACGTGTAATATGGACCCTAGGAGGTCAATTCTATGTTTTTAATGCATTAAGACCAACTGAAATCGACTGAATAGTTTTGGACATGGAGGGACTGGGCGAGTCGTTCATACGACTCGACCAGTCGGGTCATAGTTTCCCCCAAAACCTTTCTGATATCAAGTAGTGTGTTTAGTTGTAAGAAGACTTAACCATTTGGGTTCGTTATGGACCTGAAGATCAACGTACTCGATGAGTTCAAGGCATTGTCCCAATTATATGAAGACGAACTCGACGAGTTCAAGAAGAACTTGGCGAGTCAAGTACTAAACACTTTAACTCGGATGAAAATAAACTCGACAAGTTCAAGGATGAACTCGACGAGTCGCCTGTAGAAGTTCCCGATTTTATTTAAAGGAAAACTCGGCAAGCTCTTGCTAGACTTGGCGTGTAGGTTTGAAGTTTTAGCGTCCTAAGGATTATGGAACTCGACGAGTTATTGGGTCAACTTGGAGAGTTGAGCCACCGGATGTTGACTTTGACCCAAAGGTTGACTTTAACCAAGGTGTTGACCACTTGCCCTTGAATTTGAATTTGACTTGAGTTGACCAAGAAATGGTAATTAAGGATAATGGTTATGTGTAGGAATTGATAGGAGTTGATCCCGAAAGCGAGGACAGTTCAGACAATTCACGACATTGATGGGAGTTACCTTCCAGTAGAAGTTGGTCGAAGGCACCAATACCAACCCACTAGTAGGTGGTTATGTATGAGATGATTGTCTTTGTGATAATTGTCTTGCTTACCACCATTTGATATGATTATGTGCTAGGATGCTCTGCTATATGTATTGTTGTGGTAGGGGTGAAATAGTCCTCGGTAGTCGGTTGAGATAAACCAACGAGTAAGTCAAGCACCCCAATATGGATTGACCTGGGTACGTCAAGCACCCCAAAATGGCTTGACCTGGGTATGTAAAGCACCCCAGTACAGATTGACTTGGGTATGTCAAGCACCCAAGAATGGCTTGACATGGGTAGGTCAGACACCCCAGAACTGCCTGACAGTAGGATATTGTATGGTATGTGGTATGTTGGGGGAACTTATTAAGCTTTGTGCTTATAGTAAAAGCTATGGGAGGATACCAGCAACAGAAGACTTATAATCAGCCTCCAAAATTTTATCAGAATAATTATCAGCAAAGAATGCAATTTCAGCCACCACCGAGTTTTCAGTAGATGAACTTTCAACATCAAAATTTCCAAAACCCGAATTACCAGAATCTGAACACACATCAGCAACCCAATAGTTCCAGCGTAGCCTTAGAAGATATAGTGAAGAGTCTTGCCACGAGCACCCAAGCATTCCAGATAGAAACCAGTGCTAGTATTAAGAATTTGGAGCAACAGGTGTCTCAACTTGCCACTTTTGTGGGTCGGTTGGAATCCCAAGGAAAGTTACCGGCTCACACAGAAAACAATCTGAAGCACAATGTTAGTGTTATTTCCTTGAGAAGTAGGAAAACATATAGAGGCCCAAGCGCATCTGTATCAAACGAAGCTGATGAAGAATTTGAAGAAGTTCTAGTGGAAGAAGGTGTTAGGACTAAATTATGGTTTATGCTAGTTTTATGTTTTATTGTTATTTATTGGGCTTATGGCGTTTTCAGTTTGGATTAGGTGGACTGAAATCATTTTTTGATTTTGATCCAAGAGGATGGGCTTGGGATTTTATTAGGTCTAGTATTTTGGTAATATATATAGGTGATAGCCATTTAGGGTTTTAGTTGTTCATTCAATCTTGTAATCGGCTGTGAAGGAGTTCTCAATTGTACCAGCCAATTTAATCAATATAATCGTGTGCAGTTGATATATTTGTGTGTTCTTGAATCGCTATTTGGTTTACATTTCGCATTCACTAAATAGATTAATTGATATCATATTGATCTAAGTATTTTTGGGACTTAGAATTGATATAAGAGCTATATCGTTATCAATCGATTCAAGAAGGCTTTGGAGACTCGTTTTTGTTGCTGTTTTGGATTTTTAACTTAATCGAAATCTTAATAAATTTCGATTTGATTAAAAGATTCTACTGTTCATCGTATTTTGTTCTTGGGAGTTCATCAGTTCATCAAATCTTCTTCATGTTCATCGGATTTAAAATTGGAACCTTGTCAATTTAAATCACGTATTTTAAGGAATTTGATTTGTTTCTGTTTCAAACATTTCAAGGATTTTGGTCAAATATCAATTCAGATTAGATTTGATTTCGGTTCATTATCTTTTTGATCTAGATTTCGGCAAAATTTGAAAATTATTTTTTTCTTTTGTTTGTTTTCGGTCCATTTTAAATTCAAATCACATATTCTTCAAAAAAAATTGAATTCGGTATAAAATTCCTTAAAATTTGATTCCGGTACAACTAGATTTTGCTCAAACAAGATTTCGCTTAAATTGTTTTTTGATTAAAATCACATATTCTTCAAAAAAAAAAAAATAAAAAAAAATAAACAGGACATGATATTGGTAAGGATCAACTGAGAACTCAATCAAGAACTCAAATTAAAAGTCCAACCTTTTTTTTGTTTTGTTCATTTGTTTTTTTTAATTTAATTTATCAATTTATAATTTATCCAATTTTAGTTTTGTGATTTCGGTTTTAATTGTAACTAGAAAAGATTCTCCGGCGTTGCCGGGGTCGGAAAGTATTGCTTTGTAAAGTAAAGTAACATGTTGAATTGCATTGAGATAATCTAGTAAAGGAAGATAAACAATGTCATCTAATTACATAAGTGAAATCTAAATCATCATTTCTTGCAATAAATGAGGAAAATAAAGAAATGGTCTCACAAATTAAACTTTATTACCATGTATGACAGTGGCCGGAAAACCAATCCGGAAAATATGGACCGTTGTTTTTTGTCTGTTAATGTGAGGGCAATTTGGTCTTTTTAAGGTAATAGGGACTGAATTTGTGACGACGGGTAAACCATATGGACCATTTATGTAATTTTGGTGTTGGTGGTGGTGATGGCAGCTGATGGGTGATTTTATGTTATTGGGTGAGTATTTTTTAATAAATAAAACATTAATTTAAAAAAAAGAGAAATATAAATTAATAAAAAAATCGGATTAGGAGTAAAAGAGTGATTTCGGTTTCCATCGTTGTCCTCAATGTGTTAAATCTGGTAAACCACAGGGACCAATCGTGTAATTTTGTCTAACAATAATAATAATAACTAGAAAGGTGACCCCCGCGTTGCGGGGGTCGGAAGGTGTCGCTTTTGTGTGGAAGTATAGTACATTGTTCTAATTGGTAGATTAGTAAAGTATGTTGCTATTGTGTATGTTTCGCCCATTTACAAACACACAAATATTTGCACTGTGCTATAATATAATGACCCCTTTTTTGTACTCAAAGTTGTTGTCTGGTTATGTGAGGCATATGATCAGACCAAGGCCACCATTCCCAACTCAAGAGCTTACACCCTTCAATATCAACCCATTTGCCTGATTAGAAAGACACTCAATAAATTTAGCAACTGAATATGTCAAATCTTCAGCTGGTCTTATAAGTAATTGCACCTCCTGACTTACTTAGTGAACCTACATTTTCTAAATTAAATCAAGCAATAAATTTGCAATAGTTAATTCATAACCCGAAAAAAAAACAAATGTTCCTAACCTTATTTGAATTGGGAATAAAAATTATTTCATCGTTAACAGTTATTGACTTTAACCAACCTTAAGTAAATAATGACAACTGCAATGCAAATCAAGAGTGTAATCAAATAACTATTTTAAATTTGCAAACACCTTTAGCATCAAAATACCCATCAACTAACACACACACACAAAAAATACAATAATTTCAAGATGAATCAACAGCCATTTCATTGTCACCTTTTTCCAATTCCATTCCCATAACACCATCCTTCTCATTCTTCTCCACTTTCTCAATCTTTAATCTCTACCACATCAGTTCATTCAATATTAGTGTTTGACTTTGACTGATGTCAATGAAAAAAAAAGTATTTTATAAAAAGGAGAACAAAATTAACTGAAAAAAGAAGAAAATCAAAACCTTAGTTTGTATAGAACAATCGTTAGCCATTTGGGCAAACATATTTGTATAAAGTTTAGTATCTCTTTTGTTACTCTGAGCTTCAAGTTGCTTTAAAGTCTTGTGAATAGACTTTACTTCCCTACAAAATAACAAAACCAAAATAAAATTACAGAGGTTTAATAAAATGACCAAAATGACCTCCAAATTTTATAGTTTTACTTGCTTTGTGGATCGGCTTCCAAGGCCTTCTTGATGTCCAATTCAGTCAATTCATAATCATAAGTTTCCATGTAAGCTTGTGCCCTTCTGTATAAAGCTTTCACATTGTAAAACTCAACATCCAACACCTGTTGGAAACAACCTTGTATAATAATAATAATAATTAAAACTTGGGATTGTTTAAAAAAAAGTATAATGGTTTTATGATTGATTACCTTTGAACATAAGATGATTGCATTTTTGTGATCATCTCTAATTTTTTTTTAAATATTAATTACCCCAGTACCTGTTATATCCTCCGCTTACCACCACACATATGCTTCCTTTTCTACCCCTGTTTGTAGTTTTTTTTTAAGTTGAAATTTTGTTTTCACTTTTCATTGGTCTGATCTCAATCATCGAAAACCTGGATATATGGTTTATTTTTCTACCCCTCTGTACATATCACATGCATTTTGACTTTGTATATGTTGTTCCCAAATTACCCCTGGATGGATAAGTTGTTGCTGTTATCCCTACGTTTTCTGTTTTTGTTTCGATTTGAACAGATCGACACGTTTATTATCCTTATTTTCTTATAATTTCGTATAATTTCCATCTATATGTAATTTCCTTTATCTGTCCCACTAAAAAAGATAAATTATCTTTTTTTTTTTCAGCTAAAGATTAATAAAATAAAATAGTACTTAAAATCCAGACCTATATGAATTTTGGAAGTGGAATGCCATGTCGAGAAAAATGAACTTTTTGAAGAAATTTATCATGTGACAAACAACTTTCACTATGATCATTGTGTTACCATAATCCAACATTAAACATTATTTAAAGGGGCGGTATTGGAAATATTTAACAAAACAAATTACAATGCCTTATTGGTAAAACAAACATACCTGGATAATGCGAATGGTAAAAGCTTTAGGCTGGCAATCAACACCTTGTTTTTCAAGCTTCTCCAAAGTATCAACATCAACATGCTCAATTTCATCTGTTAGTATTCCACACCTATGTAGAAATGTTGAGTTAGATTGAGACACGTTGACCAAAATAGGATCGCTAATTTTGACTTTAACCTCTTAGCAAATTCTTCAACTGTGATGCTATTGTCATAGATTCCCATCATATGATGGTGGTATATGGAACTTGCAGGGCAGTTGACCATAGGATCCAAAATGTTGACTTTTATTGACATTTGGGAAGCTGCTTAACAAAGCATGCGTCCTAATTGTCCTCCACCTAAAACACCCACAACTGTTTCAGAAACTCCATGAGCTGGTTCATTCTCCTTCCTACATTTTTGAAACTTAAATAGAGATTAGAAAATAGAAATCCTACATTCATTAAAGTATATATAAAAAGTGTTGTATAAGTTATAACATTTGTGAAACATCAGTTCAGAGATATGCTAACTGAATTCACCTTATGTAAGCTGTTGGGCCATTGAATCGGGACATGATAACCTTGAGGCGCAGGGATAAAGCACAACGATGTCTCATCCGACGACGGATAATGCCTTTCTAATGAATCTGAGTCATGTTTATTTATCACAATGAGATTTAGAATCAGTAATACTCTTTGTGCCATGGTAAATCTGGCACAAAGCTCATAATCACAAAAAATGAATTATTGAATAATCATACAATTCTCAGTGAAGTTAAAGAGTAATAACCTGGAGTGTAATAGTTTGGAGTGGATTAGAGAAGCATCTGAACAAAAATATTCAACAATTTCAACATGTAGCAATTAAGAAATATAAAATGATGGACAATTGTAGTTCTAAGGTTTGCGATACCTTTGCTTCATTTGCATCTCAATCTACTCATCAATCAATGTTGGAACATGTTTACTGATAGTGAGAGTTTGAGATACACCTTCTAGGGTTTTGAAGCTTACATAATCTTCCATATTCTTTATGATTTCGTTGTTTGTTAATGCAACAGGGGTAGAGGTAGTGGGTTCGACGTGTATGACCCTGGCATGTAGAATCCGCATCTTCGATTTTGCCATGATGAATCTGTTTTTTTGTTGAAATTTGAACGTGGGATTTATTTGATCAATCATTGGAGTATAAATGCAGGTTCCCTAATTTAAAAAAAAAAGCCGATTAGTTTGAAGGATGACAAAAAGAAGGAAACAGTGAGATGAACCATAGACAACAGTACCTATAAACAGGAAATCCTAACTGAATTGAAAAAGGATAGAGCTGAACTGAGTAACCATTTTGATGTTGCCGGAGGTCAGGAGAAAATTAGGAACCGTGAATATTTGAATGTTAGGAGTGAATATCAAAATCTTTTGCTGGTCAAGTCAACTAAATTGGATTTTAGTATCATAGACCACAAAGAAAACAACAATCCTAAATTAAAAACCTAAATGAATAACTGCGGACTCAAATCGATTTATTGTAATAAAAACTATATCTGATTTGTACCTGATCGTTGCTGCAACAACTTCGACCACGACTTCGTCCAGAGAGTGGTGGTGGAAGCCCTCTTCTTCAAAGTGGAAGCCCCCCACTGGCAGTGGACCCTGGCCGCGAACAAAACCCCCAACCCCAATCGCAGCTTCGTGGAGCATGCGTAGAAGTATCGACCCGTGAAGGTGGTGGAGTTTCAGCTGCCACATCAGCAGTGCATGGTGTACCTTGACCTGAAAAGGGAAGAAAGCAAGAAACCCTAAGTTTCTTTGTTTGAAACCTTGGTAGGTCTATTAGAATCAATTGCCTCATCTGCATCGTGTCTGTTGGAATCACTTACCTCATCTGTATGGTCCCGTCTGTAGATTGGAGAAGAAAAACAAAAGCAACGATCAACATAAATTTGAAGGTGATGAGTTTAGACGAAGATTGAGAGTTTTCGAAAACCGGTGAAATCCGAATATGGTTGGATGACAAAGCGGGTGGGGGAAGATAAGGCAGAACTACCAGAACCAGCAGGGGAGACACGGAACGACACGTATCGGCCTCTTCCTTATCTTTACACCTCTATTAATAATTTAAGGGACCAAATTGCCAATATACCAAACTTTAGTGCCAAAAATCTGAACCACTGAAAGTATGAAAACTTTTGGGTTATTTTTACCAAAAAATCAGGATGTTCACTATTCCTAAAAACTATCCTCCTTTAATATATATATATATATATATATATATATATATATATATATATATATATATATATATATATAAGAATAATAATAATAAGGGACAATTTCTACCAAAAGACTAAATACTAATAATATGTAATAAAAGGCGAGGGTTATGAAAATTTCAAACGAAAGTGAAAGGGTTGTTTGTGAACAAAAGCATAAAGGTAAAGGGTCAATGTTGTAGTTTTTAAAACCAACATAAGTTGGAGGACCAATAGTGACAAAAAAAATTAACAAAAAAAGAGGAGCAAACATACATAACCTTAGAGACCAATCTTGCCAAACACTTAGGAAGTTTAGTATTCCTAACTTTTATATATATATATATATATATATATATATATATATATAATATATATATATATATATATATATATTATATATATATATATATCAACACTTGGGTCAACAATTGAGATTTTGGCCCATTTTAAACTTCTGATTTCGGCTTAGAATTTGATTTTGTTATTTTCGGTCCATTTTTGTTGATTTCAATTCAAATCTCGGTCAACTTTTTGTTCAAACTCTTAAGCTTCCGATCAATGAGTTTTTGTTGATTTTTGGAGTTCTCGGTCAACAAATTTAGTTAACATTATGTGTTCTCAGCTAGGGTGTTGACTATTGGTATTTTCGGTCAAAAGGTTTTGATTTTAAGGGTTTTCAGTGAGCTCCTATTATGCAATCAATTTTTTGGTCAATTATGGCTTTCTACAACGATTCAACCACAACTCTAGGTACCAAGGAGGTAAGTAAAACCTCATGCTCTAAATTCTGTGAGGATAAAATGAATCGTTACCGTGAACAAAAAGAAATATTAATAAGAAAGATTTTGACCTTAAAAATGAAATCTACAATGTTAAGAAACTCAATAAACCTCTTAAAGAAAAAGTAGATGCTCAAACTAAAGACCCTAAAAGAATTGAGGGAAAACTGCAATAAAGTTCCTACATATTGGCCTCATAATCGATTTAGTCCTTATATATTTGTTTTATTCAATTAAGTCCCAAATACCGGTAATCGTATTCAATTTAATCCTTTGATCCGGTCAACAGGTCATCCAACTTTCAAAAATTACATTTTTCGCCTAGATTTCAAAATTTATTACAAATTTTGTCCAAAATTTACACTTTTGGCCCATATTATAATTTTTTTTTTTTACAAATTTGCTCCAAAAGTTAGCCTTTTTGCCCAAATTTAGAATTTGATTATGAATTCATCATAACTTTAGTTTTTTTTACAACTTTTTTTTTTTCTCAAAAATTTGTTTATAATATGTTTTTTCTTTATAAGCTCATATTTATACAAAAAAAAACATATTTTCACATAAAAATCTTATTTTTTCTATATAAAAACTTTTTTTTAAAAAGTTTTTGTATATGAAATTTCTACTTAAAAAATAGGTTTGGATTATTTGTGTGATTTCTCTTAAAAAATCAATTAAGAAATTAAAAGTAACCCTAAATTATACTATAAAATTATAGTTTGTTAAAAACTAGTTACACATTTTAATATTATTTATTTGTTCTTTAATTACATTTATAGGAAAAATAATGTCAGTTCTTAATTGTAGTTCATAGAAAAAAAACCATTTTATTAAATAAAATTTGACATCATGTTTTTGAGTAGGTTGTGATACTTTCCTTGTGAAGCTCAACTCAAACATGTTTCAGGTGTTTGAGTAATTTTTTTTTAACAAAACTCATGTGTAAATTCTTTAGAATTTTAGTTGAAGTATTCTATTGTGTTATTGATATTTATAATATTTTATATATTTATGTTGCTATTGTATTTTTGTTTATTTCTCACTCCCCTAAAAACATGTTTATTGATAATAAATTGCAACCGGTATTCCGTATAAAAGACATTAAAAAATATAAGAAATACAAGATTATAAATAATCCAAGTAAGAAGAGGTTGATTGGCAATAAAAAATCACAACCTAGATCGGACACGTATCATGAATGGATATGTATTATTTAAATAATATATTTATCAAAAAGTTATAAAAAATATATAAAAGTTATGATTTTAACTTTTTTCTTTAAAAACTTCTTACGAATAAAATATTATATTATTATATT